CTGTGCTGCTCTGTGCTGCCGGCCAGAAAATATGCGTAGCGCGCATGCGTAGAGAGCCGGCTGAGCCGGCCATAAATGTTGCTCTTCCTGGAGTAAAGTGCGTCCAGGATGAACGTACTTTCGGCTAGGAGAGCAAGAAAAATTATTGGATAGGTCAGTAGTATTTTGCCGAGTTCAGAGTAAAGTTACTGTACAGAGGCTGGTTGAGTCACATTATATCAAGCATCTTCCAGACCTGAGTGTGACCCTTGACCTGTTTTAATTACTCCTCGTTACAGCTAAACTAAACAAAACGTGCAGTAGTAAGTGCCGAGTACTAAGGAAGGTCATTGTACCTTTACTTGAGAAAACAGTAGTGAACTGATACTGATACTGATACTGATGATGACAATTTACAGGCAAGACTTATCTTTTTTTAACGAACCAAAGTCAATTCCAAAACGTATTATTGCGTTCCGCGAAACTCGCATCAAGTTATATTTGCATAATCCGCTTAAATGCTTTACTTTGTTCTTCTCAATGCCGGTTTCTTCTTTATCTCTGTTTTCTTCTTAATGTACTCGCAAACTATGCAATTGCACTTATTTGAGAATAATCAATAAATATTTTTTATTTATGGTAAGTTGTCAGCTATCAAGCGACAGCGAAGAATTTTATTTTTATTTTTTAAACCTTTAGCTAGGAATAAATTTTTCTTTGACAGAAAATAAATGAGGAACCCAAGCCGGGTTTTATGGAAAAATGTTTGCATTTTATCAAGTACCGGCAGTTTATTTTAAATATCCTTTTTTATAGAGTATTATATTGAGGAGGTAAAGAAATTAAAATAATTTAAATTATTTTTAGTAAAAAGAGTAAACTGCTGTAGATAAGATAGCAGGAGTATGATGGAACAATTATAAAAAAATTTTCTCATTATCCTGAAACTTATGAGTAAACTTGTAATTGGTTATTACTCGAGTCGAGTTAATAAAAGTTGAAAAGCTATTTTTCTTTGTTTCTGATTTAACTCGGCTCGCTCGTGTCAGGTGAGGGGCAGCGTCAATTACGTAACAGAGTTGAATCAAGAGTAAAAACGGGCTAGGTGTATAATCATATAATAGAGAATGTAGAGAAGAGAAGTCCTGGAGAAAAGTTTGTCTATAGACGTACAGACATCAACTTACTTCCCGTCTTCCGTCTTTTCAACGGATTGGAGTCGAGTGTAGTGTACTACAGAGGATCGTTGACCTCATCCTCATCCTCACGAGTTTTATCCCCGAGAGGGCGAATCTGTGATTACTGGTGAGTGTGCACTGTTCGCTTTTAAAGTTACTCTGTACGGTATCATGGAAAATAATAAAATCAGTTATAAATTGTATAACCATCAATAGAAGATAAAACTCTTATTTTATTTTATTTCTATTTTATCTCAACAGTTATTTATTGGCCTTATTCCAATAAGAAATTTTATAATTGCGCCAGACAAAGTGTCTCGTAGTCTGAGTCCAGATTACCCTCATGAAAATAAATTATATCAAAAATATTTGTTTAAATTTGAATAATATAAACTCGCAACCTTGCTATACCAGTCACTATGTGACTGCTGTGAGTTGTGAACTATAAATGAATAAAATTTTGATTTATTAAATAATGACTTTTGTTAAATTGCACTGTACTTTTTTAACTATTGACGTTTTTGAAGATATAAGCTCATCCTGATGTTACACTCATCAAGAGTTTTCATTTGAGTACCCACATGCATTTTTGATATATTTTTCATATATACATATATGTAATATATAGAAATATATAAAATATATGAAAAGTTGATGTGGGTACTTGAATGAAAGGT